GCTGCATTCAGTATTTGCTTACGCAGGAGATCAGTGGAAAGTATTTTAGGTCTGTTAATACTGTTGAAGACTTTTAGAAGAGAAAAACATTCTTCTTTAAAGAAAAATTCAGAAAATTCCTCGGTAATTTCACTAAGTTTCGTCTTAGGCATTACCTATAATTCTGTTCTTATTGCTGAATGTATGTGTGCAAGGAGAGAGGCAGGAAATTTGTTTCATATCAATGAAAAGTTGGTGCAGTAAATACGGTTTTACTGGATTTAAATGATCCCAGGCTTTAAGATGGTTTTAAGGGGTACTGTTTTTTCCCCTTTCTCTGTTAGTAGAAACCAAAGGCTAGTGGTGGCTAGTGTGAGATCCAAACACACCCCTCTTGATTTGGGTGCCAGTGCTCACCCACTGGGGCTGGTTGCACTTTCTTTAGTCTTTTAACTGTTTTTCACAGTGTTACAGTGCGTCCACTTTGTACAAGCTTGTGAAGCCTGTTTGTTGGTCCTGAATCCAGACTGTTAGGAACCTTTTTATCAGCATTTGTTTTGTGGTATACATTGTGCCCTTTCTGAAATCTGTCTATCTTGAATCCTGCTATGTTCCTTTTGTGTAAGAGACCTTGTATTATCAAGGGCATTTCATAGTTCTGAATCTTGATTAGCTTTGAACGGTTAGTGTGTTTACTAAAGTCTCTGTGTTCAGTGATTATACAAGCCAAGAACAAGAAGAAAGCTTAGTGTAGTTGGTTAGTATGTATGTGTTTTCTGGTATATTGAAATCCCAGAATAATTTTCAGGTTTCAGGTGCTTGTTAGCCTTTTTCTTAGGATGTGTTGATTTATATTGTTAGACTATATACCTGTGGAGCAGCTGTCCTGGCACTGACTCTTCACAAGTAACAGTACCTAGAAGAACCTGGAGGGGTAAGATCAAAATTTTCATCAGTCTACACCATGGGATTAGTAAACTAAAGACTGATTCATCCTTAGAAAAAGTAAGTCTTAGCTTTTTACGGGACAGGTGTATGAAATACTATGATACAAAATAGCACATAACATTCCCAGAATTCAGAGGGAGCAGTTTGCATATGCAGTTAGCCTAGGTTAGCAGTTCTTCATCTACAGGTTCTGCATCCACAGATTGTGCAGACCCCAACTGTGGATTGAAAAATATTTGCAAAAAACAATTTGCATTTGTACAGACTTTTTTTCTTGTCATCATTTCCTAAACAATTCAGTCTGATAACTACATAGCATTTCCATTGTGTTAGGTATGGTAAGTAGCCTAGAGATGTTGGAATGTGTGCTGGGGGATATCATAGGCAATTGTAAGTAATGTGCCAGTTTATATAAGGGACATTGAGTGTTTTGGGGGTTTGGTATCTGTGGAGTTCCTACATGTAATCCTCTATGGATATAATCTTAGGAAGACTGTCCATCTTCACTCAGAGTGATCCAGTGTCCTGGAACATTTGTGATGCTTGCACCCTGTCTAACTGTCCTGCCCCACTGGTTTACACAAGCAGTTCCTAGTTGAGGAGTTGTGCTTGATGTGTCCTTTGTGTGGAGGATTGCAGTATACACTGTTGGCTCTATTCCTGATTGACTTTAGAAATCTGTTGTGATGTGATTGCTGAGCCGTTATCTCTTCCATTCACTGTAAAAGAGCTCTTCCTTACATTGGCCCTCGTGTACCCTACATGGTGGTCATTTACTACAGAACAGAACTTTGTATTAATATTAACTGAATAAATGAACCTGTGCAGTTTACTAAATGTACCACTATTGCATATTTCTGGGAAGAAGAAAATTGTTTCATTCTTGTTCTGGTCAGGTGTGACTGGGTTGCAGTGAGTGAAGCAAACTAATAATGGGCCCAGGGAAACTGTTCAGTGGTCAAGGACGCTACGACTGTTTCAGATGCCAAATTCATTTGCTGTTTATGGCTTCTTGCATTTTGAATTAAAATAAGAGAAACAATTATTGGTAAGTGTAAATTTAAAAAAATGTCCTAACTTGTTTGATGACTCTACAGAACTAAAATCAAGGTGGGTTGTGAGGAAATTGGCTTATTTTTGCAATCATCTCTGGCCATTGTGGGGGACTGTGAGCAGCTGCAGTGGAGTTGCAGCATCCTGGGAAGATTTCCCTCAAGACAGAGAAAGAAGCAGACCAGGAAGTGATGCTTTTGCTTTTGGACATCTTGTCTGGAAGAGGCTTGCAACTGGAAGCTGTGGCTACTGGCTGGGTTTGAGGCCAGGGCTGTGAGCAAGCCAGCCTGCCTCTGCTCTTCTTAAGTTGGATAATAAATCTAGCTCAAGTCACTGCGAATTGTAGTTTCATTCTATTCAGCCTCAGTGACCAGAAAATGGACACACTCCATTTTATAATATAATTTTGAATATTTCAGTCTCACCACTGTACTTAATAAATCGAGCCACAAGACCTTTGCTTTGACTCTAAGTTAATTTCACATGTTATTTATGTTTCTCCTCTAAGTTTTATTTACTTCTTGTCTCAAAGTTTGTGAAGCAAAAAAGTAGGTGGCAGACAGCTTGAGGGGAGAGTAACAGCTTACAGGGCCAATTCCTCCAGATGGAATTTTAGTCTGGACTGTTTTCATTAAACTTTAAAAGTTTATAGGCGCCCAGGGAAGGAGATGTGTTAATAGGACCTTCAGTGTTTTTGAAGATTATAATAACGTTTATTTTTATACTGGTTTCACCTCTGGAAATGTCAATGACCAGCTGTTAGTAGATATAGTATTCAGTGCTGCTTTAGAGAGTGCAGCATTTCTCTTCCTAGATGCTTTCCTTCCTCCTGTTATGGCTGTGGTTTTCTATCCTTTAAATTTTAAAGGCAAAAAACTGCTAGTTGGATTACAGAAAGCTAGCTCTTTGTGTATGTGTCTGATAATGGTTATACTAGTGGATTTCAAATACTTTTAGCACTAGAATTCCTCCTTGAAACGAAATGGACTTCTTCACTTCTAAGAATGGAGTTTCAGACCATCAAATCTAACATGTGATGGGGGCTGTTTCTTTGCTCAGTGCACCCACAGAGCATGGTTTGAAAGCAAACCGTGTGGGCAAAGGATGACACTGCAATGTTTTCATCCATGCTGAGATACTTCTGAGAATATAGTAATTATTCCAGGATACTAGGCATAAACTGGTACTGCCCCATGCAAGCTAGACCCATAAAATAGAAATGGTGGCCATCATGGTAGAGAGGGACCACTGGTAAATAGTAGCAGCAAGACTAATGTGAATCCCTTTTTCTCCCTCCAGCCCTGTGCCAACCAGGTGCAGCTAAGGAGCCCTGGGCCTGCAGAGAGCCTTGGCAGTCATTGACTAGTGGGCATTACTGCATGTCCTAGCCCTTCAGCAACTGTTTTCTTAGCAATTGCTGTTGCTCAATGTTAGCTTAATTAGAGTACAAAGACAAATTCCATGATGCTATGGATTCTTAAGTTTTTTGTCACTGACAGCACAACTTGTGAATGGATGGTTCTATACTTGTCCTACTGACAGTTGAGAAATGTAAGGATGGATTATTTCAATGAGAAAGAGCAGAGAGGTTTCATCCATATATTTTAAATAGAAGTCTGATATGTTTTAAAAGGTCTTCATTCCTATCCCATGCTCCCAGAAAGTGAGCCAGTGACAGAGATTCAGTATCAGTTTTGTAGCTAGATTTATAGTGAAGTGTAGAACACATCTGTGTGTGCTGGTGTTTTTGTTACTGTGTGATGGTCTGTGTGGTCATAGTGTTGGGAATGAGAAGGGATGTGGCGAGTCCTGTCCATCCCTTTCTCAGCTTCTCTGGAGGATTTCAGAAGAGGCACCTGGCAGTACATTTTTGTCATTGAGAGAAAAAAGAAGAGATACAGAAAAGAGAGTAAGAGAAAATGCAGAGTGAAAAAGTAAAAACCACCGAATTACACTTACAGTAATGTAGGTACCTCAAGAGCTGCACAAAGGTGCAGAAGATTAGCAGAGTGCCCAGCACTGCCTTGACCCTTTCACTGAAGGCTCCTGTGAATGCAGCTCCCCCAAAGCCACAATTGGTTCAAGATTCTTAGCCAGGGTAGGCGGGCTGTACTGACTCTTGGACCCCCTTTTCTGAAGTTATATTTAAGGATTTATCTTAATGTTCCACATGTAAAATATCAAAGATCTAATGTAATATTTGTGTTGACTTTAAAATAAGTTTTCCTGTTAATTTAGCCTTATGCTTTATTTTCCATTTTTAAAAAAAATTATTTTTATGTGTATGTGTGTATTGCCTGCATGTATATAAGTGCATTTGTGTTGTGTAATGCCCACAGAGGCCAGAGAGGGCCTTGGATCCCCCTGGAACTGGAGTTATGGCAGCTGTTAGCTGCCATGTGGGTGCTTGGATTTGAAACTGGGTCTTCTGCAAGAGCAACCAGCGTTCTTAACCATTGAGCCATCTTTCCAGCCTCATTTTCCTTACTTTTATTTAAAACAGGACTTTTTGATGCTTTTTAGCTCCAAAACCATAATATGCTTGCTTACAGGTGATACCTTGAGAAAATTACAAATACTGAGTTATAGATGATGTATTTTTAACAATTTGTAGTTTTTCCAGAATAGTTTCACACAAATTAAAATCTAAAGTGCACACACATCCCTGAAATTTAAGAGCATCTTGAGTTGTCTTTTTTCTGAATTCTGACCTTTGAGCTTAGAAAGTAATTATTCACTTAACAAACCCCAAAGAAGCTTGTAACCACACTCAACTTTTAACAGGCTTAGACATAATATTGTAAATATTCATGCATTGCTTATTTTTAAAATAAAAATCTTGGGGATATTACAGACCCACATGAGGTGGAAGAGTCGGCTTCTTTCAGGAGCATGCACAGTATTGTGCCCAGTATTGTACCCTCAAGCAAATGCTTGAAAGTGTGTTTTTCCTGATTTAGTATGTGAAAATGACTTTTAATAAGTTTAAGTTAACATTGTGAATAAAAAAAAAAATGCAGGATTTAAAGAAAGATCTGCTTCAGAGTGGACATTCCCACGGGACAAGACTGAACCACACTCCCAGCTGGAGGAGCAGACTCCTGAGGGGGCAGGTAAGTGTTCTGGAAGATTCTTCAAGGTGTGCCTGGCCCCAAAGGTCCCTGCAGTTACACAATCTTATCTCACCCAGTTCACATTGTTTATAGGATGAGTTGCTATTTCTTTTCTGAAATTTTATGATAGACAATTTTTGTAGTAAAATTTCACATGGGATAGTTAAGTTTATTTTTGTTTTGAGTCAGGGTCTTACTATGTAGCCCTGGCTATCCTAGAACTCTCTATGTAGACCAGGGTGGCCTTGCACTGACAGAGTTCAGCTCACCTCTGCTTCCCAAGTGCTGGGTTAAAGCTCTGTACCACCACACCTGGTAGCTGTACTTTTAATTTTTGCAATCAAGATTCTTAGGCACAAACAATTGTTCATTGCCTACGATCGTGCAGTTGGGAAAAGCAGGAGTCAAACGTGCCCTTTCTGATTCCAGCACTCTCATACCATGTTACATTGGAAGTAAAAATGGATACAAAGTCTACACAGCCTGGTCATTTGCTGCATCAGTGAATCCAGCAGAACCAGCAAAGTCCCTATTCTTTTCATATGAGTCTATATCAAGGCCTCTGGGTCTATATCATACCTCTTGGTCATGTGTGAATTCATAGATTAGCTCATTATTTCCATAAAGGGAGTTTGACCCATAGGTATTTTAGTACATTAGTACATGAACTTTTAACACATCACCATCATTTCCTGCTTGTGATAGAACACTTATAAAATACTATATAGTTTATGTACATATTTCTTTCATGGAGTACTTGAAGTACAAGAAAATTGGTTTCATTCTGCCACCTACTGGAAGTGTTGGATATGACACATGTTGACTGGAAACACTGCTTCAAACTGTGCTGATGAATACTATTTGATTTTCTTCCCTTTCTGTTTAAGAACAATGTATCATCCTAAGTTTTATTATTTGTTCATTGAAGAGTCCTAGGAGAATTTATTGTCTTTTACCAGTTCTATGGAATTGGTACCATTAATGCCATAGCTCCAGAGTCAGTAGTGATTTTTTTAAATCTTATTTTTTATGTATGTGAGTGTGTTGTCTGCATGTATGTAAGTGACCCACATGTATGCAGTGCCTGTGGAGGCCAGAAGAGGGCATCAGGTCCCCTGGAACTGGAGTTGCGGATGGTTATTAGCTGCCATGTGGGTGCTGGGAACCAAACCTGGGTCCTCTGCAAGAGCATCCAGTGCTCTTTGGCCACTGAGCTGTCTTTCCATCCCCCAGTAGTGTCTTTTTTTTTTTCTTAACTTTTAATTTAAATGTTTGGATTTATTTTACTTTGTACCAAGTAAGTTCACAATTTAAAAATCCACTTGTCTAAGCTAGGACTGCATCTGAAATGAGCTACATGCTTTCCAGACTTCCCTTTTGTTATTAACTCGACTCTGCAAATGATTGAGAATTCCCAGAACTCACTGGTTTATTATTAGCCCCATCCTTCTCAACTTCTTGCCAGTGTCTTTTTTTGGTTTGTGTGTTGCTGTCTCAGCCTTTCTCTTTCTGAGATTTTGGCTCTCTTCTCCACTTGTTGCACCTACACAACTCTCATAAAAATACAATAAAATAAAGCCCTTAATCCCCTCCTAACCCTTATCTTCCATCTAATCCCTCTTTTCACTATAGTAGCCAGACCTCTGAAAGAACTCTATGTGGAGTTGCCTTTTTGCTGGTTTTTGTTTTTGTTCATTTTTTAATCCATTGTGGTCTGACTTCTGCCTCTGCTCACTCTTAGAAACAGAAAAGCAGGGCCATGGAGTGCTTATGAATTTCCAAACCAGTTCTGGTAGCAGATGGCTCTGAAACAGTGTGGGAGGGCCGCTTTGTGTAGTTCTTACTCCATGGAGCCGCTTTTCAGTTCTAGGACCAAGGAATGGTAAAGGGTTAAGCAGAGGAGCACAGCATATTCCACTTCAGGGCTGGAATGTCTTGAGTTCTCATTGGCTGCTTCTCTCAGCAGTTGTCAAACAAGACCCAGTGAGGAAACTGTCACAGACACCAGGAGACTGAGGAAGAATAGAGGTTGGGACATCTAATGTTGTATCCAAATACATAGAAGGGCAACTTATGAAGTGTAAATATCTATAAAACTGGAACATTTTTATACTTTAGATGAAATTTTATCAAATCATTAGCATAATAGATGCTGTGTTAAACTTTTTCTGGGCCTGAACTTCAAGTTTATTTTGTCTTTGTCACTGAAGATCAGCCCTCTGACATAACTACTGTCATTGACATTATTTCACAGGCAGCTCTGATAATCCCAGATGAAGTCTAGCAGGACCATTACTCACTGAGCAGATTCTGTCAGCAGCTTGGTAACAGTGTCATGTAACAATGGCATATTTGTTGTGATGTTGGCGTACATCTCATAGTCTGACAGCCACTGCAGTGTTGTTGGAATGCTGTCATTAATGTTGACTTTGTAAGTCACATTATTTGAATCTGGGGATCTGGCTGTCAGATGTCTTTCTCCAGAGCTGAAAGGATGTTAGTCATTATGCAGGCTTATGACTCATCTTCCAGACTTGAGTGCTTGGCCAGCCCTAGGCACTGGGGGTCCTCACTTCAGAGAACGCTCTTTCTCCTGACTGTCAGTAGTACAGCGGTTGACCACATAATTTAATATATATTGACTTTTATCTTCCAGAGGTTTGTCATTACTTCTAACACTAATGGAAATTTTATTCATTAGAAACTGAAAAGCTTTTGCTCTTAGACATTTTCTTAAAAGAAAAACTACTCAAATCAGTTTTTTCTTTTTTAAAAATATTTTTATTTTATGTGTATGTATTTTATATGTATGAGTATATTGCCTGCATGTGTGTATATGCACCCATGTCATGTGATGCCTGTGGAGGCCAGAAGAAGGCGCCAGATCCCCTGGAACTGGAGTTATGGATGGTTGTTAGCTGCCATGTGGGTGCTGGGAATCAAACCTGTGTCCTCTGCAAGAACAGTCAGTGCTTTTAACCGCTGAGCCATCTCTCTAGCCCCCAAATTAGTTTTTTCTTTAAAAGCCTTATTGAAAAATCCTTTAATATTTATATTTGCACTACTATTTACATCAAATAAACCAGGTTCATATCTACTGTTTTCTAGCAGGGGGAAAGTGACAAATGGATATGAAAAAGATGTGTGGTGTCCTAGCCCAATGTTGTCATTTTAATAAATACATGAAAATGCCATAGTTGAGAGTTGGAATTTCTTACTAATGTTGAATATTTTTTACTTTGTTATGTTTTGTAATTATTTTAGAACCCCAGAATATTGAAGATGAAGTGAAAGAACAAATTCAGTCCCTTCTCCATGAATCGGTACACATAGAACATGGTACGAATTAAAGTCTGTTTTTACATTAGTAACTAAAATAATGTGGATATAAACTTACTTAGATACTATTTTAACATTTAAATGTTATTTGAATATTTGGATTAGTTTCTTTATCTTCTAAGTACTTAGAGAACAACTATTTCACCTCATTGTGAATTTATTGAACACATTAAAAAATAGGAATAAAGGAGCATAAATAACTCAAGAGAGTGACAGTAGAGTGAGCAACATGGGCCACTGATCTGTGACAGCTTCTCTTGAAGGACTATCTACCCTCAGGCACAGTTCTCCATCCTGAGGAGAGATTCCCCACCCTCAGGAGCAATCCTTCAGGAACAATTGTCTGCCTTCAGGAGTGGTGTTCAACCCACAGGAGTGGTCTTCAGCCCTCCAGAGAAATCCTTCACTCTTAGATTGTACTTCATGTCTGTCTGGTTCCCCAAGCAAAACAGGAGAATTTATTTAATTATATAGGTCATATTACCAAAGAAGATGAAGGTGTGTTACCTCCCCAGGAAACTACGAGGCACTGTCCTAGCACTTAGCTCTAAAGCTTGCCATGGTGAGTTCTGTGTAAAGAATATTAGATGATAATCCAGCAACTAGTGTTCCAGTCTTTATTTATGTAATTTCTAGAGTCATCCCTTGATCAAAACAGAAAGTATGACCCCAAGATATAACTTATGGAGGGGTTGTGAAGGGATAAGAAATTGTCTTATAAAAATAGTGTCTAACATCATTTCATCTGGATGTTGCTGATGGCAGCTTGGGAATGTGGAGCCCGAGTCTCTTATCATAGTTCTTTACAGCCGAAGCAGCCACATCACTTGTGTATGTTATCTTCTCATAAGAGCATGCACAGGCTGCCTATGCCTCCTTCCCCAGACCCTAACACAAGGAAGGATGCAGTCTAATTTGTGACTTCAGTGTCATGAGGTAAGAGCTACTATGATGAAACACAGGATATGCTGTGGGCTTACTAGATATTTTAGGTGGCAAGGGGTTTCCTGCTCCTTCACTCAATCATTGTTGTAAGCACAGTGTATGTGGAAGCCCAGGGGCAAGAGTGAAAGTAGTTCAGAGTGGCTGGCATGTGAGGATGAATAGGTGGAGAGTAGCAAGAGGAAAGGAGGGGCTGGAGAGATGGCTCAGTGGTTACGAGCACTGGCTGCTCTTGGAGGGGACCTGGGTTCAGTTCCCAGCACCCACATGGTGGCTAACAACCATCTGTAACTCCAGTTCCAGAGGAATCTGATGCTCTCTTCTGACCTCCATAGACATTACATGGCATGGGTAAACTTACATACATGCAGTCAGTACACTCATACACACAAAATAAAAATAAGTTATTTTTTTAAAAAAGAAGAGGAAAATACAAGATTCAAAGAGGAATCAGTGCTTCTGGAAGATGTTTAGGAGTATAGAGCATTCTGCCTACAGCCTGAAGGTGTATATGAGGTGTCCTGGATAGCTTCAGTTGTAAACTTGACACATCTGGGTAGAGGGAACCTCAATTGAGGAATTTCCTCCACTGGACTGGCCTGTGGCCATGTCTGTGGGACATTTTCTTGTTTGTTGAGTGATGTGGGAGGGTCCAGCTTACTGTGGGCGGTGTGGGTAGGTGGTCCTGTGTTGAATAAGGAAACAGGCTGAGTATAGGCCAGGGGAGCAAGCCAGTAAGCAGCTTTCCTCCATGGGCCATGCTCCAGGTTCCTGCCCTGAGTTCCTGCCTTGCTTTCCCTTGATGATGGCCAAATAAATCCCTTTCTCCCCAGGTTGGTTTTGGTCAGTGTTTTATCACAGCAATAGAAAGTAACTAGGACTCAAAGAGAGCGGTGAGTCAAGATGGTTTGTGAAACTCAGTACTATAAAAATAGGGGTGGTGAGAAGTGCAAAGGTGCAGCAGGCGTTTTTGCTCAGTTGCTTAGGCAGGTGAAAGGAAAGTATCCAGTCTAGAACCCGGTTCCCTGCTTCAGCCCTCTTGGTCCTGTTCTGTCTTTAGAAAGAGTTTCTACTTAGACAATTACATGGCTGGTCCATGGCTTTGAACATCATTTATGTGCTGCCACTCCTGTAGATGTCAGAGTGACTTGTCTGAACTCTGATCTGTACCCAACCGCACACAAATACTGCTTCATTTGGGTGTGCTGTGGGTGGCTCAGACTGCATCCATGTCTAGTGCAGAAGGCTTGTTTCCTTCCCAGTCAGTCTCACAGGTGCTGCCCAACCCCACCCCCGTGCTGATTGCTCTTCCTTTCTATACTTTGCTTAATGACTTTGCCATATGATTTTGTAGATGGCCAGCTGCTTTCCACATTAGAAAATTTGAGTTCCCAGTTATAGTTCTATGTGGAATTTGTTGTCAATTCTCAGTAAAAGGTTTTGGTCTGACCTTTTCTCTGCCTTGGAAATCAATAGATACATATTAATAATTACTAACTCATTTATTCATTAAATATTTATTGAGCACCCCCTATGGCTGAACATGGTCCTATGTGCTGAGTAGTGTTTATAAACAATACTTTGAGATGCCTGTCCTCCATGAATTCATACTGTAATGAGAGGTGACCTGTCGCTGCTCTCATGCAGACTGGCACTGGCCAGAATGAGAAAGGAGCTTTAGAGGGTGCAGCGACAGCTGCACAGGAGCCTCTGTCAGTGCTGGCTGCTGCCCATGAGCCCTCCACCTTATTCATTGTTCATCCTTGTTCAAGGTGAAGACCTGAGGTTAGAAGCAGACGGACCAGCAGGAGAACCACAACCAGAGGATGATGACTTCCTTGCAGCACCTGGTGGAGATGATGGGCCTGAGGTCACAGAATCTGGGACATTTCATGAAGGTAGAATGCATTTGCTGTAAACTAGTTTAGTTTATAATTATTGGAATGCTCCAAAATTCCTTTAAGACTAATACTTGACTCTTATCTGAATTTTTGGAGAATGAAGCTTATTGGTTCAAATTAAGGGGGTGTTTCTCTGAAATAAAATAATATCCCGATTTGCTTCAAGGCCTGAAGAAAATTCACAATATATAAACATTTACAACAGTAAGAATGGTGCTTTCAGCAAATGCCTTTTCCTGTAGTGCTCCACATAGGGTGCCATGTATAATACGAAGTTTAGGCAGCTGATAAACTGTAGGTATTGTGTATCCTTGGCTCCTATTCTGACACCCACTCTGTCACTACACTGGGTAGCACACAGTCCATAGCCTCTATAGCACACTGCAGGCTTTTTCTGTATCAGCTGGGTAGCAAGCATTTTAGACTTTGGAATACTCAGCTGCTACTGCGATTGCTTGACTGCTATTGCTGTACAAAGACAGCCATCTACAATATCCAATGGGTAAATAGGGCTGCGTTTCTGTGAACCTTTATTTACAAAGCCCTGCATAAGATATCTAGTAAAGGGTTGCAAACTTTTTCTTAAAGCATACAAGTCACAGAAAAGTAAAGCTTGTCTACTTTTCACTATTTATAAGCTACTGGGAAATTACTTTAGAAGTACACAACTCCTAATTTATGTGTGTTACCAAAAGCTTTCATCCTATACTTAGAGCAGGAGAGGGACTTTCCACAAGAGTATTATCAGTGATGGACTGGTGGCCACACTAATTGTCAGAAATTTGTGTAGTGCAAACTAAAGTGCTTTTGAACATATATCTAATTTCAGCAGCATTATACATTAAGGGTAGGTTTTTATGGACACACCTTACAGCTTAGAGCTTCACTTAGGATTTGTGTCACCATTTCTATGGAAACAGCATTTCTAATTACTGAGTAAAAATGCTTATTATGTCTGCTTTTTCATGGTGTCACACTCTCCTTCTTGTCTTTGGCCAAGATGACTCAGCAGTGGCTCAGCATTTTGTATCAAGGTGCTGCATATGTGACATACTGTAGTTAATATGCCCACATCAGAAACAGGAAGGGTTTGCTATCGTTAAGGTTAGTAGGATCAAGATAGGAAGAAACACTTCTAAGAAGTTTGTAAGTTGAAGAAATCTTATTTTCTAATATATTATCTTTAATAGAAATAGATTCAGTTAGAGCCGTAAAGTTTTAACATTGTTGAAAGTCTTTAGAGATTAAAAATATTTTGCACCTTCTGTATTGAGTCATAAAAAAAGAGAATGTCAGAGTAGGAAGGAGATTTGTTGAGAAGACGGGGTCCCACAGGGAATGGAAGGGAGCTCAGAGAAGGTGATGAAGGGGAAACATGATCAAAGCACATTTTATATATGAAATTGTCTAAGCCACATTTCAGTTATGCCTGAATAAAGAATAGCCTGACAGTTAGTATTCATTTTAAGGCCAAGAGTGAACCCAAAGTCTTGAGGACCTGTTCCTTCAGATGTCTCACAGAACTGTGCTTTCAAGCCAGGCTTCATACATTCTTTTATTGAAAAAGTGCCTTCTGCATGAATTGGGGAAGGAGAAGCTAGAACCTACCCTTATCAAAGAGCTTTGCTCTTTGATCCCTAGACCCAGAATATTGCAATTACAGACTTGTCAGTTTTTTTCACTGTTACCGAATTATGATTCAAAGTAGACATACGGCGAATACAGATACCGTGTATGAGAGTAGTAACCACAATCCAATGTTTTTTTCAGAAACTGAGGATAGTTACCATGTGGAAGAGACCGGTGAGATTTTGTTATTCTTTGTGAATTTGAATGAATCTCCTTTAACAGCATCATAATATACATGAAATATTAACTATTACTAATATTTTTAAATTATTTATATCACATGACATAGATAATAATGTTAATATATCTCATGTATATTTTTTGAATGAAATTTTTGTTTTGAAGCATATTTTCAGAGTCAGAACCCCATTAGTAGGATTACTATAAAAAAATACAGTGGGGCTGGGACCAGTGATGCACACCTTTAATCCTAGTACTTGGGAGACAGAGGCAGGCAGATCTCCGTGAGACTGAGGTATCCTGGTCTACATAGCAATTGTAGGCTATGGCTACAGGGACAACTGGTCTCAAAAAATAGCAATAAAAGATACAGTGAAGCTGGATTTGGTTTTGGTGGTCTCCATTTGAAGAGGAGGAGGCAGGAAGATTGAGTTCAACCCCTGTAAACTACATAATGAGATATTGTCTAGAGAAAAAAAAAAAAAAAAGAACAAAAAACAAGCTGGACATGGTGCCTCATACCTGTCATCCCAGCATCTTGGAGGCTGAAATAGCAGAATTGCTATGAGTTTGAAGCCAGCCTGGACTACAGAATAAGACCTGTCTTAAAATAAGATAAAACCAAACAAAATAGATAAAAGAATGTGAGAACAATTCAGAAAAACAAAACAATGAAATTGAATATTTTGTAGCCTTAAATTACAAAGTTAGTGAAAGATTACCATCACGTTTCTTGTATGTCACGTGCCCTCAAAAAGCATGGACATGTGGGAGATGAGTTCATCTTTTCTATTCAAGTGTCAGAGCCAATGACTTCTGAGTTTGAGTCCCTGGTGATTGTGTTGACTGGCCTGCATTGCTTTAGTGCTGTGGATCTGTAAAACACTGGAATTGTTAGAATTATGTCCAATCTTGGAGAGACACCATGTGGAGTACTTGGGCATCAGTCCAGGTAAGGACTGGGCATTGTGTGCTCATGCAGGCTTCTCTGTGGAGGGCGCTCTTTGTGGTAAGAGCAGGACCCACCTCTGTGTTTTTTTATTTGCTCACTATTTGAATTTGCATATGCCACATGAGACTATGGCCCTACTGTTTTGTGTGTAGATTGCGTAGATTGATTATAGAAACTACCTTATGCTTGTATTTGGCATTAAGTACAATTCATACCTCTTGGTTCTGTGAGTGAAAGTGGTAGATCATTACTGCAATTTGATCTCACATTTCTATCATTTCTTAGAATTTGTGCCTCTAATTTCAGGTAACCTGTATAATCATGATTTGAGACATTTTATTTCCTCTGTCCTAATTCATAGTGCCACAGGACCATACACATGATGTGGAAGAGGTTATGTATGACCACGAAAATCCAGGTTTGTAAATAGTAAAATTATCAATAAATGTTTCTGTTGGAGGCTGTGGCTAAGGAGGTCTCAAGTCAGGATAAACAATTCATTCTGACTTAACACAGAGGTCATACCATGATTCTTACAGCCATTTTTATTGCCCAGATGTTTGTAGAAAATTTCTGCATATTGTATAATTACAAGGTAAATGAGGTGTGCCTTTTTCAAACCACCATTGTGATTTTTTTTTTCTTTGTATGGGGAATACTGGAAATGGAAGAGAGATTGTGTTGTCTTAGAATCATAGAGTTAAAACCCTAGTTTTCTCTTTCCCATCTTTGTAACTAAATAGCAAATTGGGGAACTTTGCACCTTACATTTTATCAAATGATAATAGTCATGCATATATTCATTTTAATTGCTGTGACAAAATAGCTGAGAGAAAGAATTTTTAAAGGACAATTTTAATTTTATTAGCATATATCATTTGTACAAAAAATGGATTCACTGTGATGTTTTCGTACATTTATGTCATGTACATTCTGTAATGTAGGCCCCCATACTGTCTACCTCTCTTAGCTTCTCCCCTGTCATTCTGATTCCCTTCATCTTCCTGTATAGTCCTCCTTCCCTCTCCTCTCGCCTTGCCTTTCCTTCCTTCCTTCTCTTCTTCCTCTTCTTTTTCAAAAAATATAGTTTCCATATGAGAAAACATGATATTTGTCTACTGAGCCTCCTTAGTTCACTTACCATGATGATCTCCAGTTCTATCCATTATAAAACACCATTTTATGTGTATAAATTACATTGTCTGTATCTACTCATTTGTTGATGGAAACCCAGACTGATTCCATGATCTGGTAATTGTGAATAGTACTACAGTAAACATGGGAATGCAGGTGTCCCTACCGCATGCAAATTTAGTTTTCCTCAGGTATATACCCGGGAGTGCTATGTATAGTAGGTTCAAAAGGAGAAAAGATTAATATTGGTTCCTAGAATCAGGTGTTTCAGTCTAGGGTTTACTGGCTCCATTGCTTTGGGCCTGAGGCAAAGCAGAGGATTATGTAGCAGGGGCATATGGCAGAGGAGGTAACTCACATCATGGTGGCCAGGAACCAAAAAAGCTTGTTGGAGGAAGGCAAGGTATAACCTTTAAAAACAGACCCCTCCCCATGACCCACTGACCTATTTCCTCCAATAAGGCTGGCCTTCTTACAGCCCGTTAAGCTCATAGTTCATTGATTAATCCATTGCTGAGACAATCACCCTTGTGATCTAATCACCTTTCAGTAGCACCACTGCCTGGGGCCCAAGCCCAACTCAGGAGCCTGGGAGGACATTTATGTCTAAACCATGACAGTATTTGTCTCACAAGATATGCAAGTTAGAATTAATCTGTTCATATGGTATCTGTAATGCTTATTTTGTGTGTTTGGCAAATAATATATTTTTTTTTGTTTTTAGATCCTAGTGAACCAGCAGAAGATGTTGACAGACTGCATCAGGAAGAAGGTATGAGATGAGCGTTGCTATTCATTTTAAATGTTGCTGAAGGCTCTTCAGTGTTACTGTTTTTATTTGGTGGTTTTTCTTTCAAAGAAGCCAAGCTATTTTAATAAGTCTTTTGTCCCTGTAACAAAATTAGTTTATTCAAAGAATACCATGTGCTTCTGGTTTACCTCCTGCTGACAACCCCATGGTGATAAAATAGGGCATTCAGTCCTAATGCTAATTATATTTTATATGAGGACTTTTCTTGGAAATACTTTTCCTTCCTGTTCATTGCTTCTTTTCTTTTGTTTTTGAGGAGAGACACATATCACTAACTGTGACATTAATTAGAAATCTATGTTTAAGATTAAGGAAATTTTCTATTTGTTTCTTTAGTTAAGCAACTTTACTGATTTGCTTACTATGTATTTTTTCTTAATTCTCTTTTTTTCTTTGCAGATGAAGTAATATACCAAGACTATGATGAGCCAGGTTTGTAAATGCTTCTTAACCTTAAGGTACTGCATGTTTTAAAACATACACATATTTAAGTATAGAGAATTATGTTCAAGCTATAATCTAAAACACCCAGAGGAGGAACCATTTGGAAAGAATTCTCTTGAGGAAGTTTTTACCTACGTCTGTGATTCTACCACTGCCCGAATAACACCTAAAACTTTCTGGAAGTTGCAATTATAAGTTATTGATGTCATTATTTTCTGTAATTTCTCTTTTGACTAAAATATGCATGAATAGCTTCTTTAGTCAGAGTATAATTAGTCCCTTGAAGGTGACTCACTGTGGCAATTTGTCCTATTGGGGAAGATCACGAGTTCAACCCCACCATAAAGCAATATGCAGCTTTTGCATTTTTGGGGAAAGGGCTGAATTTACGCAACTAACTGCCCTTGTCTCCAGGCACTTGCATTGTTTCCTTGAATTCCATGAAATAGATGATATTTTCCCTGCTTTCTGGGCAAGAAGAATAAGGTTTGGGGAAGCCAAACCAATTACCTAAGGTTTTATGAATAAGAAACAGAGCCAGTGATTTATTGTTTTAATTTATCTTCGAAAATGACTGTGGAAAGAGAGAAGTCAGCTGAGTATAAGTTGAGTAGAAAGACGATGAATGAGAAAATGAGTTATGATTAATCTTGATGTAGGGGACTTTTTGTGTTCTAGATGGCTTCACTGTTTGAAGTTCAGATCTGTGTACCACAGGTCCCTACTTCAAGGAGTTTTGTAGGTTCGAGAGCTGGCAAAGTACAATTGGAAAAAAAAATTAGAAATGGTTGTGTGTGGATCTGGTATGATAGTTTTGTTATACATGTGTTTCAAGTTTGAGAACCCACAGAGCTCATGATCCATAATGGCTGTTTCTAAAGGGATATAAATGACAAGCTGACATTGTCAATATGTACAGTGCTTTTTTTAAAGGAAAAAACAAAAAGAGTTAAAGAACATGACCACTGAGATAGCATTTAAACTTTTAGTCCTGAATTTGAAAGAGAAAATGGGAAGTTAGAAGTTAAAGATTATTTCTAGATATGAGATATGAGATTCTTTTCTTAATTCAACCAGTTATTATCATGGTCTTAAAAGATACGGTTGGAATATAATTTGCAGACTGTCTCTAAAGGAATTTAAAATTATCTTAGCAAGTGTTAAGTTGGATACCATGCTTAAAAGGGTATTGTAAAATATCAACATTTTTTCACACGTAGAATGTGCTGGTTAGTTTTTGACAACTTGACACAAACTAGAATCACTTAGAAGAAGGGACCTGAATTGAGGAATTTCTTCCATCAAAATGGCCAATGGGCATGTCTCTGGAGTATTTTCTTAATTGTTGATTGATATAGGAGGGCCCAGCCCACTGTGGGTAGTGCCATTCCTGGACAGGGCTCCTGGCCTGATTAAGAAAAGTGAAAAGTAGCTGAGCAAACCAGGGGAAGGAAACAAGCTAGTAAGCAGAGCTCTCCATAGGTTCTGCTTCAGCTCCTACCCCAGGTACCTGCCTTGAGTCCCTACCTGACTTCTCTCAAGATGGACTATGCCTTAGAAGTGTAAGATGACTTTCCTCCCCAACTTGTTTTTGGTTAGAATGATTTATCACAGCAATAGAATAAGAACACAGAGTATTATAATAAATATATTTTAAAAATATTAGCAAAGAATATGACTTGACGTAAAGAGTTACTGGCTTTGGTAGGATACTTTGAGTCATCTTATTATAGAACATGAACTTTTTCAAACACATATAAGCAAAGCTACAAGTAAGAGACAGAACCACAGTTCAGTGGAAGGACAGCATGTACGTTCTCCAGATCCTGACAAAGACATGGTAGAACTATAACAAGTACTGTCTGTATATATCACAAATATCCCAGAAGCCATTAAACCAACATTGGACAAACCTGGGAAGCGGTGGTACAGTCTTACTGTCTCTATGAGTTATTTTTCCATATGCTACCTCTTTGTGTCCAACGCAGACTAACAGAGTAGCTGTAATGAAGGCCATGCATGTTCTGTGTTCTCATGGACCTTATATTTTAGCAGGAGGAAGAATTAACCAATGATTTCAGTGCAGCTTTCAATTTTAGTTGCCAGGTGCTGGTGAAAACCAGATTAGTTTGGTATGTGGCAAGTCTGTAATACAGGCAGTCGCTTGGTTTACAGATGAGGCACCTGAAGGGGAGTGTGGTTGGTAGTTTGTCTTAGAGAGTCTAGGGTGAACATAGGAGGAAGAGGGATGTGGCTGAGGTGGCAGATGATCCACGTCCATAGGAGACCTACAGGCAGGGTCCAGGACTTCGTCTTCACCTTAGGATGCCAGGCAGGGACACTGCATATTTGCATTCTGAATAGATTGATGTGTCCGACCTAGAACACAGACTAGACAGAGACACAAGGAGATAATGGAGAGATGATTAGGTGATGGCAGTCATCCAAGTCTGACCTGTCCCTCAGTGACATCTATGCCATTTGAGGAGTCAATGAAGACAAATTCCTGGAAGGGCATCTTTTTCAGGGACTGGCCAATTCAGTGGGGCCTGGTGCTTCTGAGAGCCTCATGTAAGCTAAGTGCTAAAAATGTTCCTATGGTCTGGTAGTCCAGGGGTCTCAGTGTTTCACTGGATGGATTAGATGGAGTTGATAGTGGTTTAATCCAGGGTGGTGGCTATGAAAATGGAGGGTAGTGTATACATCTGAGAACTAAGTAGAGGGTACAGTCGTCAGGGTTTACTGAGTGTGTATAGATGGGGAAAGATTAAGGTGCCATGAACTGTGTCCCTCTGCTGCCCTGATGGCTGGTGGCACTTTTTCCTTTAAGGAAAGAGAGACTAGGAGACAGATCTGGAGTGCAGTTTCATACTTGCTGGTAGTGAGGGTGCTTTGAGCCATCCAGGAAGGGAGAATGAGGTCATTTGATGGTGTTCAGCTTGCAGTGTAGACACTCATCACTGCACTTGCCGACATTCTTACTTCTATGTGCTAATTGAAGCCAGACTCAAAAGATCTCTAATGTGAGGAGAGTGGGGTTGAGAGGAATTTCTATGTCTGGGAGCACATATCTAAAGCCTGATAAGAAAAGGATTAGATGAAGAAGATGGAGAAAGACAAAGGAAAGTCTAAATAGCTGTGCTCCTTTAAGGCTGAGGGTAGTGAGGAGTTTGGAGGAAGACCTGTTGCTAAGATATCCAAAAGCCAGGGCTTGGAAGTACCCATCTCAGCAGGATCCTTTTCAGGGACTGGCCAGGCCAGAAGACAGATGGGAGTGGGTTGAGGGGAGGAGTAAATGCCTCTGAAGAAATCTGATTGTGAAATGGAGGAGCAGGGCAAAGGGTAGCTGGTCAAAGAAAGGGCTGCTTTTGCTCCTGAGGTCTATAGAGGTATGCATGTTTAGATGTTGACTGCTGAGTGCCAGGGGAAACTGGTACTCCTTGCCCCTTCTAAATGTCACCAAAAGAACAAAGTCACTGTACTCCAATACCAAGAATAGAGTGTAAAAAAGTAGATAACTCAAAATTTGCTCTTTACTAAATGAATACAAAAATGGATAGATTCATGACCATTGAGACAAACTGAAGGTTTTCTCTTAGTGTACCAGAACATTCAAAGGATTTTGAAAGGTCAGTTGACTGAGGAAGCAGCCTGCTACTGGGTTTAGGGGAGGACTACAGCCTTTGCAGCAAAGCACAGAAGCTCCAAGCCCGATGTCAATAGATGGCAGCAGGGATGGGCACTGGGCCCTGGTTACTATGGTGAACTAAAGGTCTGTTAGCCAACCTGTGCTAAGAGGATAGCAACAGGGGTATTTGTCCCCAGGTTACCATCTGAGAACCAGGCCCTATGCAAATTAGGGACTCTGCATGGTAAGAGTTGGGATCTAGGATCATTTGCAAGGTAGAGTTGTGGCTCTTACCCCAGTCCTGAAGAAAACTGACAAAAGAGAATCAGTGTCACTGGGTGACCACAGTGACTGACTCTTGTTCACAAGTGACGGGGGAGCATAGGAAACTGCCTTCGCTCATTGCTCCCAGAGGCTCAATTTGAACCCATCCTGTTTCCACTCCTTTTGGCCAAACTCCTTCCTCTCCACTCTGTAATCTACACTTGTAGTGAGTAGGCATGGAGGTTAAAATATAAATGAAATAATGCTGGAGCCACAGAATAGTGTCCATTTGTGTTGTTACACAATGCTAAATGATTTTTTCTGTTTATTTCATAGTATATGAACCTTCAGAAAATGAAGGAGTAGAAATTTCAGGTGAGCTTTTAATTTTTTCTGTAAGCCTGTGTTAACTGCATAGTTTGTAAAACAAAGAATAATATAAATACAAAGGATTTTTCAAGTAAGTGATTGGGTATTGTCAAATATAGTGTCTGCAGCAAGCTTGATGCCAGGATGCCCCAAAAATCAGCATCTGAGGATGTTCTGGGCCCTGGTATAAACTAGCATAGCATTTGCATGTGACCTGAGCATATTCTTCCCAGTACTTGAAATTATCCCTGGATTACTTACTACTGGAATGCCATTTAATTGTTGCATCAGTTATTGTTACATTCCATTGTGTAGAGAATAATGACAAGAAAAAGTGTGTATTTTTTCCAGAATGATTTTGATCCTTGGTTGGTTGAATCAATGGATGTAGAATCATGTATGTATTCCATACTTATGGAATATTTACTTTCTATCATCAGGGCAAGTATTAGCCTCTTTGATTAAACTTTTGAATAATTTAGAATTAAAGTTGATATTATAGTATAAACACTCCTGAGTCTTTCCATAAGGCAACCCATACTAGAAAAGGCGAGGCTTAGCCCAAGCTTTCTGAGTGGATAGTATCTACTTAAGGATCTGACTGGAGATAAGCTAATGTAACATGGTTGCTTTTTTTCTTAATAGATAATGTCGTAGAAGAATCCATCATAATTTCAGAAGGTTGGTTAATTTCTGGATAATCTTATATTCTGTACTTGAATGGACTGATTTATTTGAATAGTCATGCTGTGCACTGCCTATTTACTATCCACCCATGGCTCAGGGACCAGCAGTGCAAGGGTGAAGAAAACACATGGGGTTTTTCTTGGGGGGCTGGCATTCTAGTGGCCAGATGTGATAAATGGAATAATTAAGACTGAAGAGCACAAGGAAAGTGATAAAACAAGATGCTTTGAGACTAACAGATGTAGATGCAGGACCTACCCCTGCTTTGGAGCAAGGGAGCATTTGAGAGAAGACGAAATGGTAAGAAAGGGTTATCCTGGGTAGACACAGGCTGAAAGTTGGGTAGTTTGTGTCATTATTCAGATGTAGTATGGGAATACTTGTTTTTTGTTTATTTGGTTGATTGGTTTTATCAGTGGAAACAAAGGGATGTTTTCTGAAAAGTAAAAATGGTTGATTCTGCTGTATTAAATAGTAATACTTCAATACAACTTATAATTCTTAGTGTACAAAATTGTTTTACATGTATTGTTTCACATTTATTGAGGAGACGGCAAAAAAAGTCTTTAAAATTATTTATTTTCATTTTATGTGTATTAGTGTTTTGCGTGTGCGTAAGTGCATTGCATGCTACAGTACTCACAGAAGTGAAAAGAGGGTGTCGGATCCCCTGGAACTGGAGTTATGCATGGTTGTGAGCCACCATGTGGGTGCTGGGAACTGAACCTGGGTCCTTTACAAGAGCAGCCAGTGCTCTTAACCCTCTCCAGCCCCTTTGTGCATATTTCTCGTAGATGAATACATTTATTTCTAATAGCTATGTGCTCAGAAGTGAGTTCTTTTTTATTTGTTTGTTTGTCTTTTTTGAGACAGGGTCTCCCTATAGCTCCAGCTGGTCTGAAACTTACAATGTAGACCAGGCTGGCCTTGAACTCACAGAGATCTATCTGCCTCCTGACTCTGCCTTCCAAGTACTGGGGCTAAAGATGTGTGCTTAACCCCTGAGCCATGTCTACAGCCCCAGGGCAAAGATCTTTCTTTGTGCAAATCATGTAGTGAAACTGGAGCAAGGTCTAGTGAGATCAGGGGACCCTGACTCCACAGGTATCTGTGACTGAGCTGTGCTCTTGGGCCCTGAAGTTGCTCACAGAATTACTTAGAATTCTTTTTATTTACTTTTTCTGCCATGCTGGAAATCAAGACAGTGCCTTACACATGTTGGGCAGGCATGCTGCCTCTGAGATACACTCCAACGGAATGTTAGTGCTTTTGAGTTTGGTTTGTCAGACTGGATGGTAGTGCAGTCTGTGGAAGTGTGTGTGAAGGATTGAAGGAGACGGAATTTACCTTCCTTGTGCACATATAATGGAGGGAATAACCTACATAGGCCCTGTGCACCCCCTGTATTCAGGTACCAGGGATGGTTGCATTTCTCCCGTCTCTGTAAAGAACATTAGTATCTTAAAGAATGCTGCTGCATCTATATTTTCATTCAAAGAAAATCAGAAAGCCAAAGGAAGAAAGGAAATCCTTAGGAAAAATTTTATCCAACTTTCCTCACTTAAAAATAGTGAAGAATCAATAGAGGAAACAACAACCCCTCGTCTTTCTCCTACCAATCCTTGCAAACTCATGCAATGGTAGAAATGTACCTTTGACAATGACACGAATGGAGTGCAGCCCCTCATCCATGTGAAGACTTGGAATACATCATCCCAGTACCATATGGTATGCCCTGTCCTCCATCTCTGTTTAAGAACCATTCTGAACTGAATGGCCCAAATGTGACCATTCTGTGTAATGCTGTGGGTGATACAACTCGTACATCCCATGGGGGAGTTAAGAATATATCTTTTCCCCCTTTAAAGGACTGGATGGAAATTTTAGCATTGGGAAGGCAACATTATAGGTTCCCCATCATTCTCTCATCAGCTGTGCCACAACCATTTGCAACCTATGATGTGGAAGCCCCTTCACCTATCATTAATAAACACTGCAGCTACCCAGACTTGTTCTGTGTCCATGGATTGACCAGTCAAGCAACGGATGAAATGGCTAGACCATCCATTACTTGTAGTAGACATACCAAATATATAGCACCATATACACTTTCCAACAACTTTTAAAGAACCTTAATTTCCCAAGATTGAGACAATTTCTTAAAGATGTTCACCAATGTGACTGAATGTGCATGGAATGAGTCTGCTTCAAAGACACATATTCACAGAATTTCGAACTGTGCATCATGTTCACTGGACATACAAGTTAAATAAATAAATGGCTCAAATTTTAACGCCAAAAAAAAAAAATAAAAGTGAACATGGACTGGAGAGATGGCTCAGTGGTTGAGAACACTGGCTGCTCTTTCAGAGGACCAGGGTTTGGTTCCCAGCACCCACATGGTGGCTAACAACCATCCCTAATTCCAGATCTAGGGGATCTGACACCTCTTCTGACCACGGGCATTGTAAAACACAGGTGCATTGAACACACATGCAGGCTATACACTATACGTAAAATAAAATTAAGTTAAATAAAATAATGAACATTATTGTACTAGTCAGGGTTCTCTAAGAGGGACAAGCCTATGCAATGAATATATATTACAAAGGGAGTTTATTAGATTGGCATCTCTTACATGGGCTGAGAGCCCAGCAGTAGCTGCCTGTACACTAGAGAAGCTGCGAGCCCAGCAGGTGCTCAGTCTGCAAAGCTGGATGCTCAGCAGTCCCAATTGGTGATGAAGACCTGAAGGATTCCTGGAGAGCAGCTCTTCTTCAGTCTAGTTGGAAGGACTGATGGGAGCAACAGTAGGACAGCTGCTCTCTCCAGCATGAAGTGAAGGCAGGCAGGCGAGCAGCCCTGCTCGCTCTTCAGACCTCTGCATCTGGGTTGCTGTAAAGGTGCTGTCCCATCTGGCGGAGGATCTTCCTCTGGTGAATCTTTGCAGGATGTAGTCTCACAGCCTTCCCACAAGCACATGTCTTAGCTGATCAGATTCATTCAAGTTGATAAACAGTATTATCCAACACAATCACTGTTGTGCTGTTTGGCTGCAACTTCCTGGGTTTAGGAATGTGTTTTCTTCCTAAGATTTTACAGACATTTTGAGAAGTTGGTATACTACCAGTTCCCCTTGGTGGAGGGTATGGCTCTGGGCTATGTACCCACAGCCCACCTGTGCCTCTGGCTGGGCTACAGTAGCCCCTGAGAGAGTGCCTTACCTTCATATACTCACTAGTCACCTTTTGTCCCTCTTCCTTTGCTGTGACTGATTGATTAGTATGTGCTTGAAGTTGTAGACCAGAAACATGGCAGTTATTGAGTTCCCTGCTCCCTCTGTTCTATAGCTAAATCAAGGCTCGTCAATAGAATTTCTTAATGCCCCTCCACTGCAGTCTTCTTTCTGTAGCATTTGGACTGTGGTCAGGTATAGCCCCTTGCTTCTTAGAGGATAGCAGCCCTCCAGCTGTGCTCTTGATTGACACTATGCCTGTCCCTTTCAGATCTGTGTTTTATGTACTCTTAGGATGATATATGCAAAAAACCAGATCTCAGTTTGCCAGTCCTGTGCATAAACCTTTCTGTTACCCTTCCACTCCGTCAGTAAGATTGCTTTCACTTGCAGATGATAGAAACAAATCTGACTGGCCTGAGATGCATGACTAGAAAGGAGCTCATGAGATTGGGAAATTACTTTCAGCAGAAAAGTACCCATAATCAAATCTCAGTAACATATCTATATGCTTTATTTAAAACATAAAAAAAGCCATGACTGATTGGATTAGCCTCTGATAATTTATCAGAACTCTTAACTCTCTATGTTCTGGTAGAATTTCTGTTTAAATTTTCTCCCAGATGTATTTCTTTTTATGATTTTTGGTATTCTCTTTGTGCACAATTATACTCATTTAACTATTTCCTTTGAATTTAACTTTATTTTGATCTTAATGCTTTTCATCTTCCATTAATTCTTTTTGTTTGGTTCTTTCTTTTTTTGGTCTTTTTAAAACAGGGTCTCCCCTGCCCCAGATGTCCTGGAACTCACTTTCGAGACCAGGCTGGCCTTGAACTCACAGAAATTCACTTGTCTCTGCCTCCCAAATGCTGGGATTAAAAGCATGTTCCACCACACCTGGTAAAAGGGAAGCTGAAGAGACGGCCCTCAATTGTGGGTGCTGGGAATCAAACTCTTATTTTTTTCGTTGTTAGCCTGAGCCTTTAACAGCTGAGCTATCCCTCCACCCCTCATTAATTCTTATTATGTAAAATTAAATCTTTTAATACAACTATGAAAAAAAGTACTGGAGTAAGAAAAAATAAGCCATGGAGACAAAATAGATACTGCTTTTAGGTTGTGTTGGTAAAATTAATTAGCTGTTTTATGTTTAAAATAACATGCCAGAATGCATGATATTTCAATAAAATTTTCAGGTGAGTTTGTTAAATATATTTTTCAGAATAGAATTAGATAAAAATTTGACTTGGAATAAGGCTTTCATACTATGGACATCAGTAATCAGATGAAAAGGACAGAATAAGCGATGAAGGGAGCTGGAGAGATGCTCAGCAGCTAAGAGCACTGACTGCTCTTGCAGAGGACCCATCAGTTCTCAGCACCTATATGGCAGCTAGCAACCATCCTTATCTCCAGTTCCAGAGGATCTGATGCCTTCTTCTGGCCTCTGCAGGAATTTGAAGCTTGTGGTGCTTTCAGGCAAAACATTAATACGCATAAAAATGAAGAAAAAAACATAAAGAAAGTGAGTGAGAGAGAGAGAAAGAAAGAAAGAAGGAAGGAAGGAAGAAAGAAAGAAAGAAAGAAAGAAAGAAAGAAAGAAAGAAAGAAAGAAAGAAAGAAAGAAAAAGAAAAAGAAAGAAAGAAAGGGAGTATATGAAGTTGTCAGAAAAAAGTGATGGGGAAATATTGGAGGAGTTGGAGGGGAGGGAGTGGGCATGGATTTGCTCAAAACACCTTATATGCATGTATGAAATTCTCAGAATTTTTTTTGCCTGTCGTGCTTTAATCCCAGCACTTGGGAGGCAGAGGCATGTGGATCTCTATGAGATCAAGGACAGCCTGGTCTACATAGCTAGTTCCAGGCCAGCTGAGATTACAGGGAGACCCTGTCTCAGAAAGATCAAAAAAAAAAAAAAATTAAAATTAAAAAAAAGAAGTGATGGATGTGACAGTGACTGGTGGGTGTGGGTGTTGCTTCCCTTTTTGGAGGGGAAACAAATCCCACTATATTTCCCAAGTGGTCCTGGAGCACATGGTGATCTTCCTCCAAGGAGGAGTGCTGGGATTACAGATCTGTACCAACAGTACCACACCCAGCTCTCTGTTTCCTTTTAGGTAAAATACATTCCCTTTCAGCTTAATAAAATTCTTATAAGAAACAAATTAAACTAAGGTAAAAATTGAAAAATAGCTATATTCAGTGTTTTGATTATTATAATCTAGAAAACTCTTGACTAGATTCTTTTATAATTTTTTTGTTTGAGACGGAATTTCCCTGTAGACCAAACTGGCCCGGAACTCACTATATAGACCAGGCTGGCCTTGTTTGCTTAGAGATCTGCCAGTCGCTGCCTCCTAAGTGCTGGAACTGAAATTGTGCACCATCATTCCTGGCCCCAAATCTTATAATTTTTAAGGAAAGGCAGCTGGTACAATCTTATCTCTAAGGTAGTATTAAATGAGTTGTTAGGTTTGACCAAACATAATATGCGACATAATTTATAGAGTACATCTGATCAGTTTATCTTTCTACAATTGGGTGGTTGATGTGTGCAATCTCTTTAGCTGTACTTAAGTAGAAACAGCCAAGGAAAGAATTTAGGTTAAAATTCACATCTGCATTTTTTCTTTAATATTTTTGTTGAGGTTTTGTGCCCACCAAACCTCATTCATTCTGTCATATATGTTAAGTCTTATACTAAGTTCAAGCATTTGTATCCAGATGTCCTTTGTTGCAAATTCATCCACTGGAGTCTAGTCAGCCTACCTAGAGATCTTAAAGATCTACTTTCCCTCACCCAGCAGTAATCAGTTGCCAACAGTTCCCAGGCTAAGGCCAGGGTCTGCTGCCCATTTCCCTCACTCCATGTTGGGCCTTTGTCTAATTGAGCTGGTATAGGTTTTGTGCTAGATGCCTCCATTGCTGCAGGTTCACATGAGCAAATTTCCATGGGCCTGACAGTCTCTGTTTCCCTATGTTCATGGACTAACCCTGACTCTTAAAGTCTTTCCGCCTCCTCTTCTGCAATGGTCCCTGAACCATGAGTTTAATATAGGAGTAAAAGTATGGAGCACTTCATGAATTTGTGGTCATCCTTGTGCAGGGGCCATGCTAATCATCTCTGTAAGGTTCCAATTTTAGTGTATGTGCTGCTGAAGCGAGCACACGTCTGCATTTTTGAGTAATCCTAGGATGTAGTTCAGTGGCAGCACGTGTGTGCGCAGGTTCTGGGTTCAGTGCATGGCACCAAAAACAATTCATCTTGAAAGATTACTTTTTCCAAAAGAACTTTATTAAGGATGATCTTTGATTTTAATATTATTTTACAAGTTAATCTTTGTATGTTGTTTAATGTTAAAACTATGACACAGCTGGGCGTGGTGGCACACACCTTAGGCCCAGCACTTGGGAGGCAGAGGCAGGCGGATTTCTGCGAGTGCAAGGCCAACCTTGTCTACATAGCGAGTTCCAGGCCATCTGGGACTACAGGAAGACCCTGTCTCCAAAAGACCAAAACAAACAAAAAACTTTTCAGGAAGCAGGATGGGGTGTAGTTCACGGTTGTTGTAGACATGTATGTATTAATATGCCCAAGGCCCTGGTTCCATCCAGAGAACCGAGAGAGAAAAAATAGCTTTTTAGTAACCAGAAGAAGAGACCAGATGCCCCATTTGTGTTTTCTCAGCTTTCTTTAGTCTGCTGAAAAGCTGTGGTGAAAATATAGGGATTAGTCCTTGTCTCCTAGGCCAGGCAGAATTTTGAAGTTAGACCAGTCACATCTTGAAGGCTGTCATGTGAACAGTTGAGAAGTACACAACATTCCACTCAGTTGTTGTTCATTCTTGTCATTGTTATCATGGTATGGAAACCATGTTTTTTGATAATCGTGCATGCATTCTCTAAAAATAATTACCATAAGTTACATACTGTATCCTCTATTTTAGGCTGTGCTCAGCAGCATGTAATGGATTCTGATTTTATTGTTTATTTTAGAAATAAATGTTCCTCCTGTAGAAGAGCAGCAGGACACGCCACCAGGTATGACATTTCCTTAGATGTATTTTCCTTTTTGATTTAACTCTAAAATGCTGTTGATATTACACTGGCCTTATGAAATGAATCCACAATGGGCAAAAATTGTGAGAGAGAAGGATTGAATTTACCTAAATTAAAAAAAAAAGTCATTTGTGTTTTAGCCGCCTGAGTCAAAGCAGTGGAGCACGTACCACCCCCCCACCCCCACCCCCGT